GCGGGGCATTTGGCAATTTGACAAAACAATAGGGCGGTAGATGCAATGAACCTTATAGTAATATGCTGGTTCTACTGTCTATTTTTTTAGGTGGCCTATATTTGTGTCTGCAAATCTGGCAATTTGTCACCATTGTTGATATTTGTTGCCATTCACAGGATGCAACAAGGGTCACCATGGTCCTGTGCACTGTGTGCGTTTCTCTCCAGGGGGAGAGTCTTATGCTTCGGGGTCGGAAGACGGAACAATAAGGATTTGGCAGACATGTCCGCATGATATGAATGCGGCAGAAACTTCTGCTAATGGACCAAATGACAATGAGGGTGTTGCTGATCGGATCGAACAGTTGCACATTGGCGAGGCAGGGAAGAAGCTTGATGAGAATGGGAGTCATGCAGATAATGTTTTGACCAAGGCAGCACAGGCCATGCAGTCTTGATTTTCTTCAACTGTTTTATTTTTTTTTCTTTTCTTTCTTTTTTTTGCAATGGCTGGAAACCTGGTAAGTGATCAAGTGAGTTCGTCCAGTTTCCAAGGATATTACCTTCCTGAATAACAAGACATTTTAGAAAAGTAGTATGGAGTATTTGTCTTCTTCCAAAAGATGAAATCACTCACTCTAAGTGCTGCTCACGACCTCACCCCTCCTCATCCTTGCCTGACGGGATTGTGAGAGGAGTTAAATGTCAACCAATAAAGAAGAATTCTACTCAATCATTCCATTTCATAATATTCCAACAAAAAAACACCAAGTTAAAAAAAAACACTATACAAACAACCCATCTTCATCTCCATTATTTTAGTGTAATTTTATCTTTTTAAAATGAAGTATTGTATGGTTTCATTTTTTTTTATGTAATGAAATAATTAATCTTTTTTAATGTTTTATCATTTAATAGTCGTTTATGTTTTTTTTATTTAATGAAATATTGTATGTTTTTATTTGTTACGGAGTATTTAAATAACAAAGAAGAGAGGAAAATAGTAATTGTGTAGTCATGATTAGGGGGTTAACGGATTTTATGAATTATGACAAATATGGTTTGTCATGAAGTCCCGCGCTGAGGTGTGTTTCTTCTTGATTTGTTCACAACGATGCATTTCTTTTATTTTTCTCAATTGTTTTATTTGGTAGTCCCTTTCCATTATTTATTATATGTGTCAATATTTTGATGGTTCACACAGATATAAATTGATAGTGCAAAAATACTTACACTAATATTTTGTGCATGTGTGAATCATCATATTGACATAAAATAATAGTACACACTGGTGGTATATACTTTAAGGTACGTTTTTTGGTCTGCAAGTTTAATCAATGCAATTTTATTTTTTAATTGTGTCGGTGTATTTTAATGCAATTTTTTACGGAGTATCACCAAATTCTTTAGTTTGTTTGAAATGAATAAATTAAAGGCTATAGTATTCCTAAAAAAACAAAGGGTATACGGAAGAATATATTGCATGCGTGTTAGATTAATTATTTTATTTCTTAATAAAAAAGAATGAAAGTATCAATTGATACGAATATCGTATCAAGATAGAAAAGAACTTTGAGCATTCTTCAAGCTCCATAAAAGAGAGGTAGAGATAGAGAAGAAAACTGTAAACATATTGATAAAGAATTACAATATATAAAGAGTAAATATACACTAGTTGCACAGACACAGAGTGTCTGTGTTGGTGTGTATTTTTGTTTGGTGTACAAATGAGATATCACATTTTTGTGTACCCTTAACATTATTGGTGCTTTTAAAAATACTTGTATGCAATGCGCCGGGCACGGTAAAAGCAATTTGTTGAAACATGAGAGCAATGCTCCATTCATTCAAATTATAAAATGAGAGTTGGATGTTAGAAAAAATTAGAAAGAGCTGAAAAAATTGAATGAAGTTGGTTAAGACCTCTTATCGGAATTGGTAAGACTTCTTATTTGAATTGATTCGACATTTGCCGAGCTAACATCTGACGTGCATCATACCTCCAAATAGGTCCACCTCCGAAACTTGATAGTTATGGTTTTCAAAGGTATAATCCATGATAGGTATTTTAGATCTTTATAATTTGGTTCCTGAAGTTTAGAAGGTTAAATTACATGTTTCTCACTCTCAATTTTGGATTTTCGTTTTGTTTGGGTTGTGTGTTTCGGATCTTAGCTATTACAGTATCACGAGAATTGCATCTGGATCATATTGATTGAGATTAATCATCTGTTTAGGGTTGGAATGAAGTTTAAATGCTCAATCTTTGGTTATTTTGCTGATTGTGAAACTGTGATGAGTGAGTAGTAGCGTATTCCTTGGTTTTGGGTGTAATTCTATGAGTCGAATTCTGTGTTGAAGCTAGAAATGGAATTAATCTGTTTTAATCTGAAAGACGTATGTTAGAAGAGTAGGTTTTGTACGATAATTGAGACTACATGTGTTTGTTAGGATCAAATGAACTATGTAGACCTCATTATCAATGAGAATATGTTCTTCCGAGGGCACATTTTACTAAGGGAGACAGAAATAGTGCCCAACGGTTAGTTCAAGTCAAATTGATCCTTGATTCCTACTTTCTCGCCTTTTAACATGGTGTCATTATATAATCTAGCTGGTTGGGTTATAGTGATACCTTGGGTTTAGTTGTCTAGCTCTTAATGCTCCATTCTAGGGCTGGTCTTGGGGTTGTCTTGGTGGGTAGGACTAGGGTTAGGGCTGGTCTTAAGCCTAGACAAACTGTGGAGGAATTAGGTGCCGTGATTTACTAGTCGAGAGAGATGTGATTACCTTGATTTCCAATCTGATTTAATTTAGAGATTGATGATTATCATGATTTGGATACTGTTATCTTGATTTAGATATTCTATTGATTATCGTGATTTATGGTGTAGATTCTATTGATTATCATGATTTATCGCGATTCCATTGATTACCGTAATTTAACATGATTCTATTCATCATCGTGATTTATTGTGATTTAGATATTCTATTGATTACGATGATTTAAAGTGATTCAGGTATCCTCTTTTGATTCTATTTCCTGATTGAGAAATTCTATTGCTATGATGATTACCTTGAGTTACAAGTTGAGAATACCTTGATTTACGAGTTGAGATTACCCTAATTATTGTGATTTAAAGTGATTTAGGTATCCTCTTTTGATTACCGTGATTAATGGTGTAGAATCTAATTACTGTGAGATTCTTGATTTATAGATTACCGTGATTGCCTTAAATAAAGCATGGTTGTTAGATACTATGTAATTAATTGTATATGTACTATATATTGTGCAATTTATAAACAGGTCGTGGTGGTGGGGGAATTGATTATTAGTGTAAGAGCAAACTGAGTGGACAACAATTTGCAATCAAAGTCATTCCTTTTTGCATTAGTGCGAGAATGATATATTCTCGTTAGTACAGCCATTTTAACGTGTTTATCATGCTTGGTCTTTTTTCAATTCTCCCTCATTTGTATTTTTTTAACAGAGAAATCAGGACCCTATTCCAAATACATCCAAACATAATTAGATGTTACAAGGCAAACACTTTTTTTTCAACATATATAAATTGAATGACTCAGTATTTTTATCCAGATTTTTTGTTTTGTTGAAGGCATAGGTGGAGAACACTGTTCCATGGTTTGTAACCTTAACAGAAATGGGGGAAATGAGCATGAGTTGTGTTGCACTTCCAACACACTTGTATTTTCTCTGGGAGGAATGTGACTATGTGAGTGGTAAGACTCCATCTATATGAATATATATTAATATTATCATCTGCCAACTTCGAATGTAATCTTAGTATTACTAATAATTTCTTTGAATGCCAGCAATTTGGCTGATTTATCTTCATCCAAGGAGTATAATGTGATGTAGATTTTTCAAGATTGTCTTAATGATATGACCTTTATTCATTCCAAAAATTTGGTCCATTGCGATATGTCTTTGAACAACATATTCATTGATTTTAGTGAAAGGCAAAGATAGGAGATTTTGGTGGTGGTAAGTTTTTTGTTATATTTTTGTTAGTTTTTTTCATTTTAATTTCATGGTGTCAAAGTTGTGGCGTGCATTCTAAGCAAGTGAGATCATGAAATTAAAATGAAAATATCTAATTAAGGTATAACAAAAAACTTACCACAACCAAAATCTCCTATATTTGCTTTTCCACTAAAACCAATGAATATGTTGTTCAAAGATATATCACAATAGACCAGATTTTTGGAATGAATAAAGGCCATACCATTAACACAATCTTGAAAAATCTGCATCACATCATACTTCTTGGATGAAGACAAATCAGCCAAATTGCTGACATTTAAAGGAAATATTATTAATACTAAGATTACATTCTAAGTTGGCAGATGATAATATTAATATATGTTCTTGTAGATGGAGTCTTACCACTCACATTCTTCCAAGAGCAAATACAGAATTTGTGTTGGAAGTGCATTAAAATCCATCTTTATTTTCTCCATTTCAGTTAAGGTTACGAAACCTAGAACAGTGGTCTCCACCCATGCCTTCAACAGAACAAAAATCTCAATAAGAATATTGAGTCATTGAATTTATATATTTTGAAAAAAAGTGCTTTCCTTGTAGCATCACATCATGTTTAGATTTATTTGGAATAGGGTCATGATTTCTCTGTTAAAAAGGAGAATTGAAAAAAAAGGCCAAGCATGATGAACAAGTTAAAATGGTTGTAGTAAAAGTAATATATCATTCTCGCACTGATCACAAAAAGAAATGACTTTGATTGCAAATTGTTGTCCATAGTAATCAGGGTAATCTCAACCCGTAAATCAAGGTAATCATGGTAATCTCAACTCGTAAATCAAGGTAATCATCATCATAGTAATAAAATTTCTCAATCAGGAAATAGAATCAAAAGAGGATACTTGAATCACTTCAAGTCACCATAATCAATAGAATATCACTTTTATTATTTTGAAGTGGTAGAAGAAAGGAAACAATGTTTGATAGGGGGTGTATGGCACTAGAAGGCACATGAGATAATAAAACAGATGAAACATTGGAATAACAAAACACCTTTGAATGAGCAAGTTGGAATCGTCACAAGGCTAAGTGATATCTATGCACTGGCCTTGGTGATGTTTAAGCTTATATATCTAATGGACACGCAGGAAGAAAAGTAGATGATCTTTTGTCAAATAAAGAGTGAGGGATCATTTCCTCTACAAAACAGAATGTCTGAGTATGTGATACAAGTGTTATTTGAGATGTTGAATTCTGATCCAGCACGTCGCCTGGATGCTCAAACCCTTCTTGAAAGCACTATCCCCACTGAAACTTACTAACTCTACTACCTGAGGTATTTTGGATTGTACATTGTACCACCACCTATAAGTGCTGTGCTTTATAATAACTTCTTTCTTGTAAAAGTTTCTTGTCAAAAACACATGTCAATAATGTCTAAATTATTATTATTTTTGTTTTGGCCTCGAGTTTTAGGGTAACATCACTTTTTTGGCCAAATTTTAAATACATCAAAAAAGCTGCAAAATTTTACGTGGATGTTTCTATTTGCATGTTAAATCTTTTGTAAAAGTTTAATGTAAAAAAGACTTGTCAATAAAGGTCCTAATTATTATTTCTCTAGTTTTGGCCTCGAGCTCTTAGGGTTACCATCACATTTTTTCGTCATATTTTAGATCTATAAAAAAATTCAGAAAATTTGACATGGATGTTTCTATTTGAATGTAAAATTCTTTGTAAGAGTTTCATGTCAAAAATACTTTTCAATAATGTCCATATTATTTTTTTAGTTTTGGCCTCGAACTCTAGATGTAACATCACATTTTTTTCGAAATTTTAAATTCATAAAAAAAGTTGTGAAATTGAACATGAATGTTTCTATTTGCATGTACAATCCTTTGTTAAAGTTTCTTGTCAAAATACTCGTTAGTAATGTCTAAATTATTATTTTTTTAGTTTTGGTCCCGACCTCTAGAGGTACCATCATATTTTTTGGCAAAATTTTAAATCAATATAAAAAGTTTTGAAATTTGACATGAATGTTTCCATTTGCATGTAAAATCCTTTGTAAAATTTCTTGTCAAAAATAGTTATCAAAAATGTCTAAATTAATATTTTTCTAGTTTTGGCTTCGAGCTATAGGGGTAAATCATAATTTTTGGCCATATTTTAAATACATCAAAAAAGCTGCGAAATTTGACATGAATGGTTCTATTTGCATGTAAATTTCTTGTAAAAAATACTTATCAATAATGTTTAAATAATTATTTTTTTAGTTTTGGCCTCGAGCTCTAACGGTAACATCACACTTTTTGGACATTTAAATAATCAAAAAAGTTGTGAAATTTGACATGGATGTTTTTATTTGCATGTAAAATCCTTTGTAAAAGTTTCATGTAAAAAATTCTTGTGAATAATATCAGAATTTTTAATTTTAAACTTTTGGGTTCCATCTCTAGGGGTAACAACACATTTTTTGGCTAAATTTTAAATACATTAAAAAAGTTGTGAAATTTGTCATGAATATTTCTATTTGCATGTAAAATCCTTTATAAAAGTTTCATGTCAAAAATATTTGTCAATAGTGTCTTAGTTATTAATTTTTTAGTTTTGGCCTCGAGTTTTAGGGGTACCATCAAATTTTTTGGTCAAATTTTAAATTAATCAAAAAGTTGCGAAATTTGACATGTGTGTTTTTAGTTGCATGTAAAATCCTTTCTAAAAGTTTCTTGTAAAAAATACTTGTCAATAATACCTACATTATTATTATTTTTTAGTTTTGGCCTCGAGTTCTAGGGGTAACATCACATTTTTTTAGACAAATTTTAGATACATCAAAATAGTTACGAATTTGACATGGATATTTCTATTTCCATGTTAAATCCTTTATAAAAGTTTCATGTCAAAAATACTTGTCAATAATGTCTTGATTAATATTTTTTAGTTTTGGCTTCAAACTCTAGGGGTATCATCACATTTTTTGGCCAAATTTTAAATAAATCAAATAAGTTACGAAATTTGACATAGGTATTTCTATTTGCATGTAAAATCCTTTCTAAAAGTTTATAATAAAAAATACTCGTAAACAATGTCTACATTATTATTTTTTTAGTTTTGGGCTCGAGCTCTAGGGATAACATCACATTTTTTGACCAAATTTAAAATTTATCAAAAAATTTGCATGTAAAATCCTTTGTTAAAGTTTATTGTAAAAATACTTGTCAATAATGTTTAAATCATTACTTTTTTAGTTTTGGCCTCGAGCTCTAGGGGTACCATCAAAGTTTTTGGCAAAATTTTAAATACATCAAAAAAGTTGCGAAATTTGACATGGATATTTCTATTTGCATATAAAATCCTTTTTAAAAGTTTAATGTCAAAACTACTTGTCAATAATGTCTAAATTATTATTTTTTAGTTTGGCTTGAGCTCTAGGGGTACCATCACATAATTTGGCTAAATTTAAGCTAATCAAAAAATTTGTTAAATTTGACATGGAAGTTTCTATTTTAATGTAAAATTCTTTGTAAAAGTTTCTTGTCAAAAATACTTGTCAATAATGTCTACATTATTTTTTTTGTTTTGGCCTCGAGCTCTAGCGGTAACATTACATTTTTTGGCCAAAGTTTAAATTCATAAAAAAAGTTGCGAAATTCGACATGGATGGTTCTTTTTGCATGTAAAATCATTTGTTAAAGTTTCTTGTAAAAAATACTTCTCAATAATGTTTAAATTATTATTTTTTTAGTTTTGGCCTCGAGCGCTAGGAGTAACATCACATTTCTTGGCCAAATTTTAAATAAATAAAAAAAGTTGCGAAATTTGACATTGATGTTTCTATTTGCATGTAAAATCCTTTGTAAAAGTTTCATGTCAAAACTACTTGTCCATAATGTCTGTATTATTATTTTTTTAGTTTTGTTCTCGAGCTCTAAGGGTACCATCAAATATTTTAGTCAAATTTTAAATTATTCAAAAAAGTTGCGAAAATTCACATGAATGTTTCTATTTGCATGTAAAATCATAGGTAAAAGTTTCTTGTCAAAAATACTTGTCAATAATGTCTACATTATTATTTTTTTAGTTTTGGCCTCGAGCTTTCTAAGGGTAACATCAAATTTTTTGGTCAAATTTTAAATTCATCAAAAAAGTTACGAAATTTGACATGGATGGTTCTATTTGCATGTAAACTCCTTTTTTAAAGTTTCTTGTAAAAAATACTTATCAATAATGTTTAAATTATAATTTTTTAGTTTTTCCCTCGAGCTCCAGGAGTACCATCACATATTTTGGCCAAATTTTAAAATAATCAAAAAAGTTGCGAAATTTGACATGAAAGTTTCTATTTGCATGTAAAATCCATTGTAAAAGTTTCTTGTCAAAAATACTTGTCAATAATGTCGACATTATTATTTTTTTAGTTTTGGCCTCGAGCTCTAGGTGTAACATCACACTTTTTGGCCAAATTTTAAATTTATTAAAAAAGTTGCGAAATTTGACATGGATGGTTCTATTTTCATGTAAAATCCTTTGTTAAAGTTTCTTGTAAAAAATACTTGTCAATAATGTTTAAATTATAATTTTTTTAAATTTTGGCCTCGAGATCTAGGGGTAATTTCACATTTTTTGTCCAAATTTTAAATACATAAAAAAAGTTGCAAAATTTGAGATGGATATTTCTATTTGCATATAAAATCCTTTGTAAAAGTTTCAAGTCAAAAATACTTGTCAATAATGTCTAAATTATTATTCTTTTAGTTTGGCCTCGAGCTCTAGGGGTAACATCACAGGTATTGGCCAAATTTTAAATTTATCAAAAAAGTTGTGAAATTTGACATGGATGGTTCTATTTTAATGTAAAATCATTGTAAAAGTTTGAAGTAAAAAATACTTGTTAATAATATCTAAATTATTATTTTTTAGTTTGGTCTCGAGCTCTGGGGAACCATCACATAATTTGGCCAAATTTAAATTAATCAAAAAAGTTGCGAAATTTGACATGGAAGTTTCTATTTGAATGTTAAATCCTTTGTAGAAGTTTCTTGTCGAAAATACTTGTCACTAATGTTTACATTATTAGTTTTTTGGCAAAATTTTAAATATATCAAAAAAGTTGCAAAATTTGACATGGGTATTTCTGTTTGCATATAAAATCCTTTGTAAAAGTTTCATGTCAAAAATATTTGTCAATAATGCCTAAATTATTATTTTTTTAGTTTGGCCTCGAGTTCTATGGTACCATCACATAATTTGGCCAAATTTAAATTAATCAAAAAAGTTGCGAAATTTGACATGAAAGTTTCTATTTGCATGTAAAATCTTTTGTAAAAGTTTTTTGTCAAAAATACTTGTCAATAATGTCTACATTATTATTTGTTTTGTTTTAGCCTCGAGCTGTAGGGGTAATATCACATTTTTTGGCCAAATTTTAAATTAATCAAAAAAGTTGCGAAATTTGAGATGGATGGTTCTATTTGCATGTAAAATCCTTTGTTAAAGTTTCTTGTCAAAAATACTTGTCAATAATATCTGAATTAGTATTTTTTAGTTTTGGCCTCGAGCTCTAGGGGTACCATCATGTTTTTTGGCCAAATTTTAAATTAATAAAAAAAGTTGCGAAATTTGACATGGATGTTTTTATTTGCAAATAAAATCCCTTGTAAAAGTTTAATGTCAGAAATACTTGTCAATAATGTCTGAATTATTATTTTTTTACTTTTGGCCTCGAGATCTAGGGTGACCATCATATTTTTTGGCCTAATTTTTAATTTATAAAAAAAGTTGCGAAATTTGACATGGAAGTTTCTATTTTTATGTATAATCCTTTGTAAAAGTTTCTCGTAAAAAATACTTGTCAATAATGTTTACATTATTATTTTTTTAGTTTTGGCCTCAAGCTCTAGGAGTCCCATCACATATTTTGGCCAAATTTTATATTAGTCAATAAAGTTGTGAAATTTGACATGGAAGTTTCTATTTGAATGTAAAATCCTTTGTAAAAGTTTCTTGTCAAAAATACTTGTGAATAATGTCTACAT